CAGCATCCTCAGCAGCGGGCGGAAGCGCTCGTCCTCCCGCAACCCCGGGGGGCAGCTTCTTCTCCCCGTGGCTCCGGGCTTGTTCGAGCTGCTCCTTGAGCTCCCGCGGCACCGAGATCTCCTGCGTCGGCTGGTCCGGGTGGCCTGCAGGTCTAACTCCAGGTCCAGCGAGGTGCGCATCGGGCGCTCGTGGCGCAGGGATTTGAAAGATGAAGGCCGCTTCATGTGGACGCTGCGCCACTCCAGAGAGTTTCGAGCAAAAGGTGGCTTCTTGGGCAGCGTGGAGCTGTGGCTGTCACTCCGATTCAGCCGGCTCACGGATTGGCTCTGGGGTCCGGGGAGACGGTCTCGGGGCGGATGATGGTGCTTCTTCAAAGAAATGGCGCTGGGGACGGCGTGCCCACCCGCCGGGCCTTGGGCCGCACCCTGTGGGCGACAGGGCAGGGGCCTCTGTGTTGGTCTCTTTGTCCACCTTTACCGCCGGGCACTCTTCCGTATCTGGTGAGGATTTCTGGGCAAAAACCTCCTCCTCTCCCTCCTCCGCTGCGGTCTCGTTGTCTCTGGTCTCCTCCCCGAACCTCCAGCTGTCTCCCAGATCCTGCTCCTTCCCTCCGGCCTCTTCTCCAGCTCCACCGCTGTCTGTCCCAGCAGAGCGGACACGGCGTCCGTGCTCTCAGGCCCGGGGGTGGGGGCCCGGGCTCACCCTGGCTTGGGTTCCCTGCTCTGTTGCTTCAAGTATTTGTAGCTCAGGAGGTTGTACCAGCGAGTGGACCTCTCCCCAGACCGGCACACCTCTGCCAGGCTGATCTGGGCGCCTCCCAGGCAATCCTCCGGATGGCTCTGGTCAGTGGTACAGACGTCAACTCTTAAGGTCTTCTGGTGAAGGGCTGGCTAGGACATGGACACCCAGAACACCTCATTGAACACGAGGGCGTCGGAGGCGTCCTGAGGCCCGTCCGGAACAGGCAGGTGGTGCTTCCGGAGCAGGGAAGGACGGCCACACGGATGCTCACTTTCTGGTCCTGCTGCAGCAACAGGGCAGAGAGGTTACTCAGCTGGACGATTAGTCTTGCAAACTGCTTATTCTTCTCGTCATACTGCAGGGCAACCTGAACCCGGGTTGCTCCCACCGCGCCTGGCTCCTCACTGTCAAACGCAGGGTCTTCTGATGCACCGAGTCTGGAAGGCACGCGGGAAAGAGAGGCCTCAGAATCCCTCGCAGCGACCTGGGCTCTGTCCGGGAAGGTGTGGTCGCTTCTCTGCACGGAAGCCTCATACACGCCACTGTCCCCGGCCACGGATTCATCCGACAAGGCAGCCGAGACGCACGCCACTTTGAGGCCACACCCCTGGGCCGTATTCACAGCTTGGCCCAACTGCTTGCCCTCCATTCCAGGTTCCTCCAGCTGGTACCTCTCCCGGCTGCCACTGCCAAGGCTCAGTTCACAGAGTGGCACTCAGCTCCGGATCTTCAAACTCCAGGAGCTCAGGAAGGCGTCTCCAGCCAGGACGAGGTCATTGATGAGAGGGGAGCAGGGCGGGGACGGGGAGGAGAGGGAGGAGCGTGGAGACAGAGAAGTCATGGACTTCGGGGTGCTGGTCAGGGAGCGCAGGGCCTGCAGGCGGCCACTCCCCTCTGGGTCTTGGCCACCTCGTCCTGGTGGATGGCGGTGATGTAGCCCGAGGTCCGGAAGCCCGTGGCCCCCTCCAGGAGCAGGAACTCCACCTTGCTCTGCAGTTCCGAGTCCAGCTGCTCGAAGGGGTCATAGTAGAGGTCAGTGAAGCTGGCGGAGGTCGATCTTTCCTGGCTGGAGGCAGCCAGGGAGCCCCGGCTGGACGGGG